AAATTAGAAAGATGTTTTATGAGAGTATGGATCGAGAAACATGTAAATATATCTTTTACTTTGTTTGGAATGCATTCTCTAAATTTCACATTGATTCGACTTTCAACGAGGGCCAATGGGATCAAACGGACCCCGGAATCAGATTCAGGGACCTCGAAAACATGTAAAGATACCTTGTTCACTTTGAATGTGATGCATTTTATCATTTTGACCTTGACCTGACCTTGACCCTGACCTGACCGGGTTAAACTGACCTCGGATTCGAATTCAGCGACCTCAAAAACATGTAAATATACTGGTATATTTTATTTGCAATGCATTCTCTGAATTTGACCTTCATTTGACCTTGAACGAGAGCCAACCTGGTCAAGCGGACCCCGGAATCAGATTCAGCGACCTCGAAAACGTAAAGGTATCATGGTCTTGTCTTTCGCACAGGCCACTTTTTTTTTCCCGTGGGGCTGTGTTATATAAATGAAATTATAAATGGTACAAATGTAGAATTATCACAATGCGGTTTAATAAAGCAGCGCAAGGTAAGTGAGAGAGAGAGAGAAAGCAAGCAAACCGAGAGAGAGAGAAAGTTCGAGGAGGAACTTACATTTTCCTCGGCCATGCCTTCTTCAAACGATCAAGCGTCGAAATTCATTGATGCAACAGCGACTCGCTATCCTCGGATTAAACCCGTGTTAATTATATTCTCAGCACACCGCATACACACACTCTATCCACTTAGAGGTTGTCGGCAGCCGGCAAGACCAAAATCGCTATCCTTAACAGAAAAGCCACACGAAATTGGCAAGGTCTCAAATGCAGTATATTGTTGAGGGTGAGGAGTGAAAATAAAGGATAAAACTTGATTATGATTTAACACACACAAATTTATTTAATTGAGTAGGAAAATAGATCTCACTAACGCGAGTTAATTCAGACAATCGTCAATTGATGATTATCGTTGGGACTACCCGCATGGAGAAGTTACAAGCTACAGATCAAAATATAAGTTGGAGCAAAAGGTGAACGATTCGAGGAGCTAGTGTTCGCAGACACAACTTGCTTCGACGAATTCTATCGGCGATCTGACCGACGCTTCCGCACGAGTTGAGCTGTCAAAGGATTTTTGTTTTTTTTCTTTTTCCCTTCTCTCTTGCCCTCGGCTGAGGGCCGAGGGCTCACGCCGTGGGCGGGGACTTTTCCGCTTTTCGTTAATGACACGCTTAACTCGCTATACTCTGCATTACTCTACAGTTCGGATTTAGATAGAAGGAGTTTTTAATCCCCAGCGTTTTTTCACGTATAAACCTCGGAATAATCAAGTAATTCTGAACTGAAGTAATCACCTTGCGTTATCATAAGTCTTTTTAGCGCTTATATAGGGCAGCATCAGAACACCACGTATTCCGACCTGTACTGGTCATAAGGGACCATGAGCGACACACACTCATGTGGGGTAGTCTCAAAGACTGCATTCAAGTGTGCTTTGTCAGCCTCAGAATAAAGATTCTGAACTCAAGCGATCATATTGCGTGATCATGAGTTGTGACGCTTATATGGGGCAGCATCGGAACACTACGTGTCCCGACCTATACTGGTCACACGTGACCATGAGCGGTTTATGGCTTATATGAAGGCAGTTGCAAGGACTGCGTTCCACGTTGTAGTGAGCGTGAGGACAAGTAATAGCGGTGTCGTTCGGAAACGTTAAACAGATGGTGATAATCGTTGAAGTTGTTGTTCGTACAAATAAACGTTCCGATAGGATGTTCGTTTTTGAATGTTGCCATCATGACAAGTTGATTAGCTTTTTGTTCAAGAGTTAAAGGCTCGAATCGTGATGGAAGTTTCGCTCGGATGCGGACTGCATGTGTACTCAAATACATCGCTTATTCTATGTGTACATAATTTAATTGCTAAGTGTTGCTCACTTTCCAGAGATGCTTCAATCTATGTATAAATCAAGTCTAATTGTCGCAATTGCTAGTACGTGCCGTCGAGATGCTTGCCGCTTTTGAGGAGGCCAATATAAGTAGCAAAAACAATGTGTATCCGACGTAGACGAGTTCGCGCATTCCAGGCGCTGGGTAATAAACTCTAAGGGGTATCGAGGGCTCGACTCAGTCACGGTCGGCCGTTCGGTCGTAAACGCAAAGGAAAAAAATTGGGTTTTCCCCAGTTTTAGGAAAGCGGAAATATAACGAGTATTTTGGATAATGAAAAGGAGAGTTGTGAGTAAGGCGTTTATGGCAAACAGATGCTCGAATTCATGAAAATAGCAATAAAAATAGAGGACGCGTCGCAATGATAATTTGCACTCCACCCATCCTCAACATTTATAAATGAAATAGATGATATGAAGGTAGAGAGAGACGTAACGGGTTTAGAAATGAACTCATTATAAGTGGATTGAATGTAAAAAAGGAGTAGAATTCCTCCAAAGAAAGTAGTGAAATTCTAATAATTGGTTTTTTTCGAGTCTACGGTAAAGGACATTTGGATGGTTTGGACTCACATCACTACTCCAGCTCTCTGAGAAATAAATTCATATATTTATGTATAAAAATGGTAGTTTATACATTCTACTTTGAAGATAAATACTTGCTATTGTTCAATTTTATATGCTTCAATTTTCTTCATCATTTTTAATTTTTCAGATTTAACATTAGCTGACCCCCTTAAAGTTTACTTAAAAAAAATAAAATTATTACGTCAATGTTTTAAATGTGAAAAAAAAATAATAGTTAATTCAGACTACTTGCCGATATCTATTCTTAAACGTAAAAGAATAAAGGACCCATGTTGAAACATACAGAAAATTGAAAGTAAATTAAATGTACGCTGCCAGTAAGTCTTCTTTATTCATGTGCACAACCCGATATTAAAAAAGAAAGTATTTCATGGACAGATACATACGTGTTGTAACGAGCGGGCTCGTTAAGAGATGAATGAGCGATTTTCGAAAAAGCGCGCCATGCGCAAAAGACCCGCGCAGCGAGAAAGAGAGAGAGAGATAGCTACGACACGCGGGCTCAAGAGAGTACACGTGAGACCGGCAAGCGGATAAGACACGCTCGGAATCCTTTCGTTCATCGGTGTGGGAAAATTGAGTGAGATATCGATCCCGCGGATTGAGAGTTCGAGAAGTGTGAGCACAGTGACCGAGGAAGGAATCCCGCAAAGATCCACGTGTGAGAACGAGCAAATTGAAGACCGCCATCCGAATAGTGAGAGCCGGCTCGTCGCCCACAATCCAAGAGGATCGACTCGCGGGCCTCCCAGCCTCGACAACCCTGGGCGACGGCCCTCGCGGAAACAGGCTCGAGAGAAAAAGCGAAGCTGTCTGCAGCAGCGTTCGCCCGCGTAAGTCTCCTTCGTTGTAACAGTATTGCGTGCGAGAATTCCGGGAAGCAAGCGTACGTAAACAGCGTCGGCTGCGTGCCGTTCGTAATCGTATTTTCCGTCTCTCTCTCACGCGTACGTATAATTAGGCTGTGCGTCGCGAATCTCTCGGTTAATGTGGTATAACGGGATTTTGGCTAACCCGCCGTTACAATCGAGAGGATGGATTAGTTGACAGCTCGGCTTGATAAATAGCTAATGCCACAAGGCTAGTGCACTGGCACATGTGTGGCCAAGCCTTTTAACCAGCCACGATATCAAGTAGCCTCGTGGCCCGCGTAGAGCGTCGCAGGTAGCAGTGGCTGAAAAACGCGAAAAGTAGTGACGAGCGCAGAGAATTCGCCAAGGAATGGGAATGAGAGTCGGGCTCAAAGTCAAAGAAACGCAGAGAATAAGAAGGATAAGAATAATTTATATAGAGCATCAAAGAGAAAGCGTATAGAGTAGTAAATCGGTAAAGAGAGAGAGAAGCGAGCAAGCAAGCGAGAGAGAGCTAAACGAGTCGGTACTTACAATGATGCAACAATGGTCAGGCCCTCCGTGCAATAAACGCTCGCTCTCTGAACGACGTTCCCGGGCGCCGGTTGCAGTGGTGACGAAGTGTGGGGCTACCTAGCGTTATGTCCTCGCACACACACACAGTCTTGTCAAAATGCCGCACCACTGCACGCACTCGCGAATAAGTTAAGGCAACGCCAGATCGAAAGTCCGAATACGCAAGAAAAAGACGAAGGATCGCTGAACAACGGCAACGGCCGAAGCAAATAAGCCAAAAAAAAAACCTATTCAGCGCACGCTCAAAACACGTGTCGCCCGCGTTACGTCCGCCAGTCAATTCCCCTGGGAGGCGTCCCCACTCTTTCGTCACGCTTTTCAGCAGCGTGACCACACACATACACGCATACACGCGAACGCGACTCTCTCTGCCTATAGGCTCGTTAGTAGACATAGCGCGCTCTCTCTCTTACCTTATACTTCGGCGTTGTCGGCTGCTGCAGGCTGCTGTATAATATAATATGAATCTGAATATAGTATAAGTATAAGAATTATGTATATGCATGTGTGGGAAGAGAGAGACATAACGAATGAATTAAATTCGTTATAGTGGAATGTGCGCTAATGTGAAAATAAGTGATGAATAAATTTGCTGGAAATATACTAAGCAAGTCGGCGAATTCATTCGATAGCCCCGAATTTTCTCTACATCCCCTTCTCCTTCGCAACGTTTTCTAAGAACCTTCGACCATCGCTTTTCTTTGTTGTTCCGTGCTTTCGCGCTTGTTTTCAGGTTGCGCGTCCAGCACAGAGCTAGCCAAAAGAGGAAAACAGCGGTGACATATGAATTTTGCTAACGGACGACGATTTACTTCTGAAGAAATCAACAACCGTTACAGTGTATATTTCTCGAAATAATAAATTAAATTAAATTAAATTTAAAAATTTTAAAGTTCACATTTACATTCCGAATATTATATAAATATTGTTTTGTATTTAAAAACTTGAATATATATATATAAATATATATATATATATTTATTGGAAGAATTTTTTTATTGATTCGACAAATTACTGATTATTTATTTTTATATATGTTCAATACTTACTGATTGTAACTATCTTGTATGGAATTAAGTAAGCATAATTCTTTATTCAAGTAAATCTTGGTATCATCCAAAGTATTATACAGAGTATAATATTGTTTTGTTTCTTTATGCTTAGTAGATACTAATAAAACAATTATATTTTAGGAAGCTGTTGAATGCAAGAATTTTTTGAAATATAAAAGATGATTACTTTTTATTACCTTCATTATATAATTCCATAAAACGTCGCTGATATTGAAACAGTTCAGATCTGCAGGGAACATCATCTAATTGTCTTGTTAAAGTTGCAATCAAGCGATTTTTCCTTGCTAATTGTAATCTTAATTGGTTGATGACTACCTTTTGATTTTCATGTTCCAAAGCGAAATTGTTTTCTTTATACGGTTGTTCTTTTTGCGTATTTTCCGACAATTTTTTAAGCGTAAGTAAATTGATGCGACACCGTTCTCGAAATTTATTTTCTTGATTCTTTAAACCATCATAAATTATTAAAAGTACTTCCATCATTCTTAATAACCTATATCATAAAAATAAAAATTTCTATAAATTGTAAATTATATTTTTAAACATACTATGTAATTAATACGGGAATTTTTAAAAATAATTTAAATTGATTCAACGACTTTTTACTAACTTAATTTATTTTTACTTTTATGCGAACCCTTTTAACTGAGTAATTTTAGCTTTTCATTACGTGCACAATACATTATTTACATTATCATTGTTGCAATGTTAATAATACACAAAGTTGCTATGTCAGTGACACCATAAGATCTATATGGGTAATTCTTGGCTATTTCGATTGATTTGTAACCCTTAGGTTGCAGATTTTTTTTTAATTTGGCACAATTGTTGTACATATAAAAGTGAGATTTTTCCTAAATTTTGAAGATGATACATTAATTATATCAAAAGTTATTAACAATTAAAGAAAAATGATAAAAAATTTTCAAACGGCTATATAGTATTTTAAAAACTAATAAAGATATCTAAGTCGGATTTTTTTGAAAATACTTATAATGCCTTGAACTTTCGAAATAATTACAATAAACAATAAAAATTTTTTTTCGAAAGTTATTAACTTTTTGTTTAAACAATTGCTAATATCTCAAAAAGTATATTTTTTTATTGAAAAATTCTTGCTCCTGCGTGTTCCTGAGAATTTTTGCTATCGAAATCAATCATAAAATTCAAGGGCCCGACATATCGGAAACCGTAGCCCTAATCAAAAGAAGATGCCTCGGTGTACGTCGCAACGGCAGCGGAACGTTCGTGGTCTTACGCCGAGGCGTCTTCTTTTGATTAAGGCTACGCTTAGGTAGCGCCATTTGGACACGTCATTTTTTCAGGACACTTCATATACGATTACTATAGGTTTTTACGGAAAAAGTAATTATAATAAATATTGAACAAAATAATCGAATAAAAAACATAGTATTATATAAAAACAAAACAATAACTTATTGAGTTATTCCTTTTGGCTGGCTTGATATGCTTATAAATTTGAATTCTTTTGATTTGAAAGTTGATGCCGGGCTTCGTTAACCATTTGTCATGTGCTACACGAATATATTCACCAGACTAATATTCACGATACTAGAATGTAAAGATATATTTATTTGTTGCTGTTACTGAACTTGTTAGATATACGTGGATACTATAAAAGTAAGTAATTGTTTATAAGTAAGCGGCGTAAAATAAAAGTAGATAAATATGTAATAGAGGTTAATAATATTTATATTAATTTGAAGGTTAAGGTTAACTATGGACATAGATATAATTGTTATAAGGACTGGTCTTGAGAGCATTTTACATAGAATTAAATTTCAACCCTGTACTGAAGAAAAAGGAAGAAAATTAGTTGAAAGTGAACACGTACGTCAAGTTGAGGAATATAGAAGGTATGGCCATAGTTATTTTATCAAATGTATTGTTTTAAGACCAACATCCGTTACTCTTGAGCCGTATAAAGTTCAGTTGCGTGTAAATTCAATATCAGCGAAAATACGAGTATAGTGTATATATATATGTCATGATTCTTAATTAAAAATGACATTAATATTATAATGTTCCAGATAAATGACTTACGTATAATATTAAAAGCATCATGTACCTACGTGTACAATCAAAGTGGTAAATGTAAGCACATAGCTGCTTTGATATATTATATTAATCATGAGGAGAGTTTGACGAAAACTAGTCATGAGCAGCAATGGGGTAAACCTAATGATCGGCAATTAGTCCAAGAGAAATATTCCAAAGAAAAATATTTTTCTGATATGTTTTCGCGGAAATGTGATAAAGAAATAAATTATCAACATGTAGATGTGAAGAAAATTGAAAGTGATATTTGTAATTTAAGTAGTAATTCAGCATTGAAATTTAGTGTAGTAGAAGCCCAGAAAGATGAAAAAGAATGTGAAAAACAGAATTTGATGCAGAATTTGAAAAAATGAAGTTCAAGAAAATTTATTGAAGGAAGATTTCAAGGAGTGTGTCAATAATTTTCAAATTTTCCAAGAAGAATATCCATGTTACAGCAAGCAGTATAAGCTACCTTCAGATTTATTCAAATTTTATTGTGAAAAAATTGTTGTAAATAATAATAAAGCAATAGAATTATGCTGTTAGATCTTAAACAATCGCAATGCAACGAATGGTATTCAATAAGAAAAGAAAAGAAATCTCAGCAAGTAAAGATGCTCATAGTATTAAAGTTCACAAAACCAAAACTATTGTTAAGCTCATAGCAGATATGGTAGATCTAAAATCAATTGAAAAAGCTGCTATGAAATACGGTATTAGACATGAAAAGTATGCTGGAGAACTGTACCAACAATTAAATAATTGTGATGTAAAACAAGTAAGTGTTCTTATCAATCTAAAACAGCCATGGCCTTGCGCTAGTATTGATGGTGTTGTAATAGACGATGGGTGTATAATAAAAATAGTTGAGTTTAAATGCCCTATCACTTGTGAAAAAGTACCAGTGATTATGTAAAAAATAGCAAGTGTAATATTCCTTATCTTACATTTGAAAATAATGAGATTGTTTTAAACCGTAATAACATATACTACACACAAATGCAAATGCAAATGTACGTCAGTGGTATGAGTGTATGTGATTTATTTATTTATTCAAAAGTACCAAATGGTACCAGTACGGTACAAGTATTTCGTAGAGAATCATTTATAGAAAAAGATATTTTACATTGTGAAGAATTTTATTTCAAACATTATTTGCCTGTAATGTACACCACAGTCTCTTCGATACGAATAAAAAGAGTTATAGAAGAAAAGTTAGAAAGATGTTTAGTGAAAAAGATATTTCAAATATTTTGTCTTAAAAATGTTTTATTATGAAAGACTTAAAAATTTACAATTACTATTAATTGTTAGAAATAATTAAAAAGATTATTTTTTATGTACAATTTATGATATAAAAGACTGTTTGTATAAAAATATACGTCAGATAAAAAAATTATTGAATTTTCCTTGAAAAGATTATTTTCCTCATTTATGGACCTTCTTCATCATGCTTATCAGAAATAATTAAAGGTTGTAGATTTATCAGCACGCAAGTCACATGAACAATGTTATCGATGACTGGAAATAATTCAGTTGGAATCTTATTCAGAATTTGATAAATTCGTAACCTCTGTATGACTCGTTCAACATGGATACATACTCTAGCAATACTGTACGTCTCTTCAGTTTCTGATTCAGTAAATGCTTCTTTTTGTTCTAAGAAAGGTGGCATGACAAGTAGAACTCGTTTACCACTTTTATCTATAGACGCACTGAAATGTGGAAAAACCTTTATCTGCAAGTACAACATCGCCATCTTCTAGTAGATCAATTAATCCTGATTCAATTGTCAGTTGCGAGTCACTTTTCCTTCCACCTGCCACTTTTGATTTTAAACAAATTAATACAGCAGAATTAATTCCTAAAAATAATTTTGCTGTGAAGCCTTTTTTATAATTGGAGTAACAAAACACTCGATTTTCAACTGATGATAGTATAGCTATCTTGAATTCAGTGCAGTTTATAATCACACGAGTTTTGGAATAATGAGGGTAAAAACATTGTAGCATTGTTTGTTGAACAACTTCTCTTCGAAGCCAGTACGAGGTGTGTTCAAAAAGTAACGAGAATTTTTAAATTTCGCGGGTTTGGAGAGTACGCTTGTATAAAATTTTTTTTTATTATGTTGGTACACATGCCCCTGAAGTACGATAAAATTTTCAGCAATATTCATTGCTTACTTTTTAAGTGGCAGCCGCTAACGTTAGACTTTTTTTTCGAGCTCGGCGATTTTCGTTTGTGAAAAAAAATGGATCAATGAATTTGTATTAAATTTTACGTAAAAAATGAAATAAAGTGTAGTAAAGTTTGTCAAATGTTAACAAAGGCATATAGTGAGTCTGCTATGAGTAAAGCAAGGATTTATGAGTGGTATAAGCGTTTCCAAGATGGCCACGAAAACGTTGAAGATGACGAACGACCCGGACGCCCAAGCACATCAACAACCGATGAAAACGTGAAAAAAGGGAAAGAAATGGTTATGAACGATCGCCGAATCACAATCAGAGAAGTCGCTGATGATGTTGGCATATCAGTTGGCTCATGCCATCAAATTTTTTCGAATGTTTTGGGTATGAAACGTGTGGCAGCAAAATTCGTTCCAAAATTGTTGAATTTCGAACAAAAACAGCGGCGAATGGAAGTTGCTCAGGAGTCGCTAAATGAAGTCAATAACGATGCAGAACTACTAAAACGTGTTATAACAGGTGATGAAACATGGGTTTACGGATATGATGTCGAAACTAAGGCTCAATCGTCCCAGTGGAGGCATTCTGGATCGCCAAGACCGAAAAAGGCTCGACAAGTGCGGTCGAATGTGAAGGTTATGCTCACTGTGTTCTTCGATTTTAATGGCATAGTGCATTATGAATTCTTGCCAAAAGGTCAAACAATCAATAAGCAGTACTACCTACAAGTTCAACGTCGTTTGCGTGAAGCAATCCGAAAAAAACGCCCGGATTTGTGGCAAAACAATTCATGGCTTTTGCACCACGATAATGCGCCTGCTCACACTTCATTGCTTGTTCGTGAATTTTTGGCCAAAAACGAAACTGTAACGATGCCTCAGCCTCCATATTCGCCAGATATGGCTCTATGTGACTTTTTTCTATTTCCAAAAATAAAGAGAACATTAAAAGGCCGTCGTTTTACAAGCATAGATGACATTAAAAGCGAATCGCTGAAAGAGCTAAAAGCTATTACAAAGATCGAGTTTCAAAAGTGTTTCGAGGATTGGAAAAAGCGTTGGCATAAGTGTATTGTATCCGAAGGGGACTACTTTGAAGGCGACAACATTAATGTAGATGAATAAATAAATATTTTTTTCATAAAACGAAAATTCTCGTTATTTTTTTAACACACCTCGTATACTAAACTTGACGTAGCATGCCTTAATTGTCCCAGAACAGAATAAAAAATTCTTAAAATAGT